CATTTAATTTAAGAGAAATATATATATTTTTTAATTTCATTAGTTTTCGAATTCCACAATTTTCATAGACTCAACTTTAGAAATCTGTAGCAACCTCATTTTTCAGTATATTAGCGTAGAAACCTTATGAATTATGAAAAAGAGTGTCATCTTTTCAACGAAAGAGCCTGTTTTAAAGTATCACTTTTAGTTTTTGAGAAATAAAATTTTGAAATGTTTCGTAATCTTTGAGGTTAACAATTTGTATCGAACTTTCATAATCTATATAAAATTTATCTCTTTTTAAATTTTAATGAAAATTTCATGATTTATCAAGAAAAGTGTCTAGTTTTTGATAAGTGAACCCGTTTTGAAAAGTTACATTTAATTTTGGAAAAGTAAGTTTTTTTTTCAATATTATTAGTTCTCGAGTTTCACAATTTTTACAGAATTAATATTAAAAATCTGTAACAACTTCATTTTTCGGTATATTAGCGTGGAAACTTCATAAATTATCAAGAAAAGTGTCATCTTTCCAACGAAGTAATCTGTTTTGAAGTACCACTTTTAGTTTTTGAGAAATACATTTTTGAAATGATTCGTAATTTTTGAGGTTAGCAATTTTCATCGTTCAACTTTGAAAATCTGTATAAAATTGACCTCTTGGTAAATTTTGATGAAAATTTAATGACTTATCAAGAAAAGTGTCTACTTTTCGATAAACAAACTCGTTTTGAAAAATTACATTTAATTTAAGAGAAATATATATTTTTTTTAATTTCATTAGTTTTCGAATTCCACAATTTTCATAGACTCAACTTTAGAAATCTGTAGCAACCTCATTTTTCAGTATATTAGCGTAGAAACCTTATGAATTATGAAAAAGAGTGTCATCTTTTCAACGAAAGAGCCTGTTTTAAAGTATCACTTTTAGTTTTTGAGAAATAAAATTTTGAAATGTTTCGTAATCTTTGAGGTTAACAATTTGTATCGAACTTTCATAATCTATATAAAATTTATCTCTTTTTAAATTTTAATGAAAATTTCATGATTTATCAAGAAAAGTGTCTAGTTTTTGATAAGTGAACCCGTTTTGAAAAGTTACATTTAATTTTGGAAAAGTAAGTTTTTTTTTCAATATTATTAGTTCTCGAGTTTCACAATTTTTACAGAATTAATATTAAAAATCTGTAACAACTTCATTTTTCGGTATATTAGCGTGGAAACTTCATAAATTATCAAGAAAAGTGTCATCTTTCCAACGAAGTAATCTGTTTTGAAGTACCACTTTTAGTTTTTGAGAAATACATTTTTGAAATGATTCGTAATTTTTGAGGTTAGCAATTTTCATGCTTCAACTTTGAAAATCTGTATAAAATTTACGTCTTGGTAAATTTGGATGAAAATTTCATGACTTATCAAGAAAAGTGTCTACTTTTTGATAAACAAACTCGTTTTGAAAAATTACATTTAATTTTGGAGAAATAATTTTTTTTTAATTTCGTTAGTTTTCGAATTTCACAAATTTTCATAGACTCAACTTTAGAAATCTGTAACAACCTCATTTTTCAGTATATTATTGTAACAACCTTATGAATTATGAAAAATAGTGTCATCTTTCCAACGAAAGGACCTGTTTTGAAGTATCACTTTTAGTTTTTTAGAAATAAAATTTGGAAATGTTTCGTAATCTTTGAGGTTAACAATTTTTATCGATCAACTTTTATAATCTATATAAAATTTATCTCTTGTTAAATTTGGATGAAAATTTCATGATTTATCGAGAAAAGTGTCTAGTTTTTGATAAGTGAACCCGTTTTGAAAAACTACATTTAATTTTGGAAAAAATAAGTTTTTTATTAAATATTATTAGTTTTCAAGTTTCACAATTTTTACAGAATTAATATTAAAAATCTGTAGCAACTTCATTTTTCGATATATTAGTGTGGAAACTTCATAAATTATCAAGAAAAGTGTCATCTTTCCAACGAAGTAATCTGTTTTGAAGTTCCACTTTTAGTTTTTGAGAAATACATTTTTGAATTAATTCATAATTTTTGAGTTTAGCAATTTTCATCGTTCAACTTTGAAACTCTGTATAAAATTTACCTCTTGGTAAATTTGGATGAAAATTTCATGACTTATCAAGAAAAGTCTCTACTTTTTGATAAACAAACTCGTTTCGAAAAATTACATTTAATTTTGGAAAAATAAATTTTTTTTTAACTTCATTAGTTTTCGAGTTTCTCAATTTTCATAAACTCAACTTTAAAAATCTGTAGAAATCTCATTTTTCAGTATATTAGTGTAGAAACCTTATGAATTATGAAAAAAAAGTGTCATCTTTTCAACGAAAGTACCCGGTTTGAAGTATCACCTTTAGTTTTTGAGAAATAAAATTTTGAAATGTTTCGTAATCTTTGAGGTTAACAATTTTTATCGATCAACTTTTATAATCTATATAAAATTTATCTCTTGGTAAATTTGGATGAAAATTTCAAGATTTATCAAGAAAAGTGTCTAGTTTTTGATAAGTGAACCCGTTTTGAAAAATTACATTTAATTTTTGGAAAAATAAGTTTTTTTTTTAAATATTATTAGTTTTCGAGTTTCACAATTTTTACAGAATTAATATTAAAAACCTGTAGCAACTTCATTTTTTGGAATATTAGTATAGAAACTTCATGAATTATCAAGAAAAGAGTCATCTTTCCAACGAAACAATCTGTTTTGAAGTACCACTTTTAGTTTTTGAGAAATACATTTTTGAAATGATTCATAATTTTTGAGGTTAGCAATTTTCATCGTTCAATTTTGAAAATCTGTATAAAATTGACCTCTTGGTAAATTTTGATGAAAATTTAATGACTTATCAAGAAAAGCGTCTACTTTTCGATAAACAAACTCGTTTTAAAAAATTACATTTAATTTAAGAGAAATATATTTTTTTTTTAATTTCATTAGTTTTCAAGTTTCACAATTTTAATTGACTCAACTTTAAAAATCTGTAGCAACCTCATTTTTCAGTATATTAGCGTAGAAACCTTATGAATTATGAAAAAGAGTGTCATCTTTTCAACGAAAGGGCCTGTTTTAAAGTATCACTTTTAGTTTTTGAGAAATAAAATTTTGAAATGTTTCGTAATCTTTGAGGTTAACAATTTTTATTGATCATCTTTCATAATCTATATAAAATTTATTTCATGGTAAATTTGGATGAAAATTTCATGATTTATCAAGAAAAGTGTCAAGGTTTTGATAATTGAACCCGTTTTGAAAAATTACATTAAATTTTGGAAAAATAAGTTTTTTATTAAATATTATTAGGTAGTTTTCGAGTTTCACAATTTTTACAAAATTAATATTAAAAATCTGTAGCAACTTCATTTTTCGGTATATTAGTGTGGAAATTTCATGAATTATCAAGAAAAGTGTCATCTTTCCAACGGAAGAATCTGTTTTGAACTACCACTTTTAGTTTTTGAGAAATACATTTTTGAATTAATTCATAATTTTTGAGTTTAGTAAAATCTGTATAAAATTTATCTCTTTGTAAATTGGAATGAAAGATTTAGGAATTATGAAGAAAAGTGTCTATTTTTTGATAAATAATCCCAATCATTTATATCAGAACATAAATAAAATATCATTGTGCTTGAATTAATCAACTTTTTCCAATAAACCTTAATAAAAATTTCATGCAAACCATCACAGAAATTGATTTTAAGAAATGAATCATTTTAAATTATTAAACATTTCGTTCTACGTTCATTATCGATCACCATCAAAATGAAGGTGGCATTTGACGAAATTATAGCACGTCTAAAACGACACGTATGTATAGCCTTGATGATGATTATCATCAGAGTTCGATTAAGTATTCATCTGGTGTCGTTAGAAAGATAATATGAGGGGGTTTAGGATAAAGTTGGTTACACGAACGTTTCAACAATACGATCATCGACGGCATTGTGTTGAAGGGAGCTTGTTAAAATGGCACCAATCCGATATGAGAAGAGCGGAAGTGTAGGTGACCGGTAATAATTGCGTTTTCCAAAAACAGGGCAAGGAAAAATTGCATTAAAACTGACACGAAACTAGGACGCCTTCGGAATTCTAACTAAAGGATTCAATCAGTATCGAATACAATTCAATATCGAATTTAAACACAAAATATTGTGTTTATTATTATTATTTTTGGTTATAAATTTAATAACGGAAATGTATTCATTTCAATGGAAACAACTTAACAATGTATTAAATAACTTTTTACTGTTTAATTATATCGTGCAAATTGTAAGCACTTTAAACTCAATGAACCAAAAGAATAAATCAAGTTATGTGCTCAATTGATAACGAAATAAAGCACTTAAAATCCTTTACTTTTAAAAGATTAATTTAATAATGATTAAATGTGGTTGAGTAATAGATAATACACGAAATTAATTACTATTTAAACTTGATTATATAACTACTGTTTAAACTATTACAAATTCAATCTCCACATCAATCGGAATCAGTTAAACATTAATAAAGTTATTATTTACTTTCGTATAAATACAACATTATAAAAATTGATTTTCCTTGTAAAACTTTCTTCAACCTGAAAAATGTACATTTTCTCGAGTGTTTGCAATCGAAGTGCATCAGCGTTTGACCGAGAATATGTAAGAGAAAAATCGTTGAATGAATATTCTCTTGAGACGAACTGTTTTCTTTTAAATTGACAGTTTAAGTCTCTGGACAATTCATAGTTTGAGTTGGATTTAAAAATATTTATTTTCTAAAAATAAACGTACCACGAATTTATTTTAATGCGTTTGCATTGTTATTTGAAGAAACCCTAACTTCAACAAATGAAGTCTTATTAAAACCAGTTGTTAACATAGAAGGATTAATGAACGTATTAGTTGGTATAATTTTGGCGGATGCGCCGGGTTGAATATTAATTAAAATTAGAATTAATAGTTACATACTCAAATAAATTAGTTAAAATTATTTATATAATTTATTTTACTTACTCTATATAATCATGCGTACTTAAGCGGTTCAGGGGGTTGTTGGATTTCTTTTTTCTTTGGATGTCTTCTCTGCGAAGCAGAAACTGCAACTACACACTCTTCGCGGATTCTTCGCACATATCTACGTTGCGAAAATGCGCGTTGGCGTGACGGGGCCCCCGCATTTCGAACATGCGCCCCGATTTCCCATCGTTCACCAACGTAAAATCCGCGAATCCCAAAACCCCAATGAATTAAAGAATTAAAACTTCTTTCATTCTTTTTATTTTCACACTCCGATAATTTTAGAAGTGATTTAATTCCAACCAATAAAACATTATTATATATATTAATATAAATTTAATGTAGCAATTTGACCTCCTGATATCAAAACATGTTTTAATAAAGAAAAATAGTAAATAATTAATAGTATGAAGTGACCTATTTATTCTGATAAATAAGTTTTTAATAATAGTTTTAATCGTAATATCATGCATTTTATAATGGATAATGAATTTTTAACAATCTTTTGTGCGTTGGATGCTAACAATGCATTTTGAAAGCGATTTTGAACAAAAAATTTCGAGAACCACTCTGTCACTGTTGAAATATTTCAAATTTTATCTCAATTGCAAAATCGAATACATAAACAATGTTAATAATCGATTAAAGCTAAAAACTTGTTAAATAAAATTTGTATTTATCTATTAATTTAACAAAAAATTTTACATTGTAATATTCAATATTAAAATAAAATAGTTATTTATAAATATTATTCTTATTGGAAGTACATGAAGATAAAAGTTATTGGGTTGCGATGAAATAAACTATAAGTAATGATTTATGAAATCATCAATTTATGTCAAAACTTCAATCAATTGTTATTTAATCCTTCCTTTCTAACATTATAGCTTCTCTATTTGGTTTTTTTGTTTTTAACCATTTTCATTATTTTCATAGAATCAACTCAAAATTCTGTGGCAAATTCATTTTCCGGAATATATTTGTGGAAACTACATAAATTATCAAGAAAAGTGTTTTCTTTTCAATGAATCAACGCGCTTTGAAAAATCACTTTTCGTTTTTGAGAAAAAAACTTTTCATATATTTCCGAATTTTTTAGGTTTACAACTTTCATCGATCAACTTTGAAAATCTTTATAAAATTAATCTCTTGGTGTATTAGAATGAAAATTTCATTATGTATCAAGAAAAGTGTCTAGTTTTTGATAAACAAACCCGTTTGGAAAAATTACATTTAGTTCTTGAGAAATAAACTTTTGAAATATTTCGGAATTTTTGAGGTTAACAATTTGCATTAATCAATTTTGAAACTCTGTATAAAATTAATCTCTTGCTATAAGAGAATGAAAATTTCATGATTTATCAAGAAAAGTATCTAGTTTTTGATAAACAAACCCGTTTTGAAAAATTACATTTAGTTTTTGAGAAATAAATGTTTGAAATATTCGGAATTTTTGATGTTAATAATTTTAATCGCTCAACTTTGAAAATCTGTATAAAATTGATCTCTTGATAGATTAGAATGAAAATTTCATGATTTATCAAGAAAAGTGTCTATTTTTTGATAAACAAACCCGTTTTGAAAAATTACTTTTAGTTTTTGAGAAATAAACTTTTGAAATATTTCGGAATTTTTGAGGTTAACAATTTGCATTAATCAACTTTGAAACTCTGTATAAAATTAATCTCTTGGTATAATAGAATGAAAATTTCATGAATTATCAAGAAGAGTGTCTAGTTTTTGATAAACGAACCCGTTTTGAAAAATTACTTTTAGTTTTTGAGAAATAAATTCCTGTAATATTTCGTAATTTTTGGTTAACAATCTTTATCGATAAACTATGAAAATCTGTATAAAATTAATCTCTTGGTATATTATAATGAAAATTTCATGATTTGTCAAGAAAAGTGTCTAGTTTTTGATAAACAAACTCGTTTTGAAAAATTACTTTTAGTTTTTGAGAAATAAATTTTTGAAATATTTCTGAATTTTTGGGGGTAACAATTTTCATCGATCATTTTTGAAATCTGTATAAAATTAATTTCTTGGTAAATTAGAATGAAAATTTGATGACTTATCAAGAAAAGTGTCTATTTTTTGATAAACAAACCCGTTTTGAAAAATTACTTTTAGTTTTTGAGAAATAAATTCTTGTAATATTTCACAATTTTTGGTTAACAATCTTCATCCATCAACTTTGAAAATCTGTATAAAATTAATCTCTTGGTGTATTAGAATGAAAATTTCATGATTTATCAAGAAAAGTGTCTAGTTTTTGATAAACAACCTTGTTTTGAAAAATTACTCTTAGTTTTTGAGAAATAAATTCTTGTACTGTTTCGTATTTTTTGGTTAACAATCTTCATCGATAAACTATGAAAATCTGTATAAAATTAATCTCTTGGTAAATTGGAATGAAAATTTCACAATTTATCAATAAAAGTGTCTAGTTTTTGATAAACAAACCTGTTTTGAAAAATTACTTTTAGTTTTCGAGAAATAAATTTTTTTACAATTTTAGTTGTTTTCGAGTTTCACAATTTTTATAGAATCAGCTTTAAAAATCTCTAGCAACTGCATTTTCCGGAACATTAGTGTGAAAATTTTATTAATCCTCAAGAAAAGTGTATTCTTTTTAATGAATCAACCCACTTTGAAGAACCATTTTCAATTTTCGAGAACAAATTTTTGAAATATTTCGGAATTGTTGATGTTAACAATTTGCATCGACCAACTTTGAAAATCTGTATAAAATTAATCTCTTGGTATATTAGAATGAAAATTTCATGATTTATCAAGAAAAGTGTCTAGTTTTTGATAAACAAACTCATTTTGGAAGATTATTTTTAGTTTTTGGGAAATAAATTATTGTAATGTTTCGGAATTTTTAATGTTAACAATTTGCATCGATCAACTTTGAAAATATGTATAAAATTAACTTCTTGGTATATTAGAATAAAAATTTCATGATTTATCAAGAAAAGTGTCTAGTTTTTGATAAACAACCCCGTTTTGAAAAATTATTTTAAGTTTTTGAAAAATAAACTTTTGAAATATTTCGGAATTTTTGAGGTTAACAATTTTCATCGATGAACTTTGAAAATCTATATAAAATTAATCTCTTGGTATATTAGAATGAAAATTTCATGATTTATCAAGAAAAGTGTCTAGTTTTTGATAAACAACGCCGTTTTGAAAAATTACTTTTAGTTTTTGAGAAATAAACTTTTGAAATATTTCGGAATTTTTGAGGTTAACAATTTGCATTAATCAATTTTGAAACTCTGTATAAAATTAATCTCTTGGTGTAATAGAATGAAAATTTCATGATTTATCAAGAAAAGTGTCTAGTTTTTGATAAACAACCCCGTTTTCAAAAATCATGTTTAATGTTGGAGATATACAATTTTAGTAGTTTTCGAGTTTCATAATTTTTATGGAATCAACTTTAAAAATCTGTAGCAATTCTGTGTATCCAACGCGTTAAACACACAACTGTGTATATTGGCAAACTCTTTTTTAACGATTTATTGATTTCTCCAATTTGGGCATTTCGAAATTTTTTCCTTTTAAAGTTTTGAATTAATTTTTTTTTGCATAAATTATCGTTTAAAATTTCGTTTTATTCTACTTTCGAATTAAATTGACCCCCAAAAAACCTTCTCTGACTTTGTTGTTTTTGCACCAGTAGATATCCTTTTTGTTGCACCTACCATTTATTTTTATTTGTCGATAATAAATATTCCGATATTCATATTATTAATATTTAAATTTTTCGTTCTATTTATTTAAATTATTTAACAAAGCGCCGCGTACGCGCACTATTCGAGGCGATAACAGAAATTATTTAAAAAATAATAACACATATTCAAATATACAATTTAAAATTTAGTGGTTTCAAAAGTTCAATTGAGTGAAAATTCGATTTTATAAGATTTTTTTTTTTTCGATCACCAAGGAAATGGAATAAAATATTTAGGACACTCTTTGGTGTGTGTAAGTTTGAAGGTTCTTGTTTAAGTAGTTGAGGATAACAACATTTTGTTTGAATGAGGTAATCGACTTTTAGTTTCTTTTCTTCTTCTGATTACTTTTTTATTTTTTATTCGTAACAAAAAAAAAAGAAATAGCTCAAACAATTTTAATCCCCAATTTCCTAGAAGAGGCGAGAAGAAAAGAAATTCTGTACAACTCCAACCCTTAATGAACATTTTGCATATTAATCTTTTTTCTATTTAAAAACACATCTACTTTTAAATTCTTTATTATTACTCTTTGATTACAATTCTTTATTTAATTACTTTTTTGTTGTTTTCTTTTAATTTTTATTAAGATATCTGTAGCTATATGTATTATGTAAGATGGAAGTAAATTCGTTCAAATATCTTCTCGAACAACGTGTTCGAAAACTTGGAAAAAGCCTTCCTTCCGTGTTCGCCCAGAGCGTATCTATGTTGTTCCAATATAAAACATTTGCATTCATATTGAAACAATTTGAAGTGTGCGGAGTTATTGAAAATTCGTTCCCACTTTCTGCAATTTATTGGTACCATAACATATATTTTTCCAAGATAACATGGTTTATTGAATTAATTTAGTAATGCTTTTCATATGATTGATGTGGGGAAGTCTGAAGATGCATGATTAAACCCGAAACTTTTATGAAATTCTGATTAAGTGAGGATTCCTTTGAGATATGAGTCATCAAAATATTTTCATTCACTCAATAGTTATCAGAGAGTTGAATTCAAGTTTGGGAATCCCAATGAAAACGTATCATATTGGAATAGAATTATCATTTAGGCTTTATTTTGAGATATGATTCATTAAGATATCTCATTTAAAGAACTTCAATCAGAAGTTCTTTAAAAAAAAGGCTTGTTTGGTATTTTGTACGTTTCAAGCAATGCTAAGTAATCGAACCCAAGAAATTCTGGATACAGAACCGGGATTTTCTGTATGATTTTGAAATTTTGATTAATTGGGCTTTCTTTTGAGATACCAGTCATCAAAATATCTCAATTAACACAGAAGTTATCCAAAAAATGATTTACATCTCTATTTTGTCGATTTCAAGCTATGTTAATTAACCA